TGGCCAGCGGGAGGTAGTATCGAAGTTTCTCAACCCATTCCTTTCTTTTCTTTTCTTCCGTTGACAGGTCTCACAAAGGCGTGTACGGTGTCTTCTTCATAGCCAACACCATGAACTGCACCCACTTTCGCACCTCGTCCTTTTTCTTCGACGCATTGTCGAGCACCACACGCGGTTTGCCCTTAATTTTCCAGATATTGCGAATGTCCCGCATAGACAAAACCTGCAAGCGCGGTCGATTCTTCTTGTCTTTCATGTTGTCTTCGCAGCTGACATGGGCATAGCCGTCGAACTCATCGTCAGGGAAGTAGATCAGCCTGAACGACCATTTACAGAAGTTGTAGTACTCAAACACGGGATGGTCTTTCACCTTCATCGCCTTCCTCGCGTTATGCTGTCCACACACAGGATAATACCAGTTTTTCTCCGGCTGTGAGCTGTCGAAGTCAGTAGGCAGCACGTGCACAGCAGGTTCGCTGTTCTCTGGAGGCACGACAATCGGAGCAAGAAGGAAAATGGGCTTCATGTATCTCATGTCTTTACGTTCGTAGCATTCGATCATAGCCGACGCGATGGTATCAACGAGGAACTCGTCCAAGGATCGGTGGTTGTACGCGTCTTCCCAGTCTGGAATAGCTAATATTCTTTCGGGATGGATGTGCAACACGACGTCCCTCTGCACCCCTGTCTGCATCTCGAGGAAGAACGCATTGTCGAGGTTGAAGGCGTTGAGGGTAATGTCCACGTCGTCATCTCCCTTCCCGCTGTCGCCCTCATCTTCTTTCTTCCCCCTCGATGATTTCGACCGTTTCCTGGAAGACTCACCAGTTCTTCGTCGTGTCGACGAGTCTTTTGGCGTTTCATCCCCACCTCCAACCCTTTTCCTCTTCTCAACGGAACCGCCCTCTCGTGTTGTTGGCGTCTGAGCACTCCCTCCTACCTTTCTTTGCCTTTTCAGAGCACCTACTCCCTCTCGCTCTTCCTCATCCGGCAAGTTGCGCTTTCCTCCCGACTGAGTCTTTTCAGCCGATCTCTCACGAAACAGCCCCTGCTCGGACACCTCCTCCTCACCGGCGACGTTCCCACTTGCTTCTCGTTCCAGGCTCAACTCCGTCTGCAGTTGCGCAAGCGCAGGTCGGGCCCGGCGAGTCGTCTCATCTGACCCACACACCTCTCGAACCTGCGGACCACCCGCGCGATCTCCAGGCGAAACCTCGGCCACCTGCATGCCATGAACGAACAAACCAATCCTTTCGACCAGACCACGAGGAGTCGTCGATTCTGAGCCCTGTCGCAACCGTTCGCCATCGCCGCCTCCACGTGGCGTCGACTCCCCAAGCAAACCTTGGCGGCGAGATCCATGCAAGCCCGGTTTCGAAGGAGCACGCGGATGGTCGTGCTCCGAGTCGTCTAACATGCCCACCTCTTGATCAGGAGGCGTAGCTGGCAGGCCACCCTGACCTCCCATCCCCCTTTCAGAGCACTCTCCTCCCGCGAACCCAACAGGACCACTGATCGATGTCCCAGGTCCGACGTCCACGACACTGACAGAGGTACCAGATCTCGCCCAGACCTCGAGGAAGTTTGTCACGTGAACGGCCTCATCGTGCCCCGGCGCTAGCGCGACAAAGTACGGCAAAGACATCGCACGCCGGCCGTACCCGCCGAACATCCTCCCGGCAACCTTGCATCCTTTTGCGATGTCGTCGACGGAACCATCACTTCTGTAATGCCTCTTCAACGTAAACTTGAAATTGTATTCGCCAACGTCGACCCACTGGACGATGGACCCTGCGAGACGCGTTCTGTCGGCGCGAACTGCGACGAACAAGAGCGGCCCGCACGGTGGTTGCAACGGGTCAGATCCGTCCTGGCTCGCCCAGTCCAAATACCAGACACGTTTGCTGTAGTCGCACCACAAGTTTTGAGCCCGCCGTTCTTCCTCCCCACCGCCACCTCCCCAACTCGTTTCCCTTGCCGGCGACGACGTCGTCCCTCGGCGCTCCTCTCCATGCGGGGCGGAACCACCAGCGGAGCGGCTTCGTCCGTGTGTAGCCATTCCCTGAAACACACGGAGGAAATGAACCCACATGCACTCAGAACAGTCAGCACGTCCCAATATCAACCACGACCCACAGTACGTATTCTATTATCGGTCACCCGGACCCCAAAACAATGAAGTTCAGTCATAGTAAGACGACAGTGGTCCCCACGCGTGCACGTTTCGGATAAATCCAAGGCATCGTGAGCCATCCTCGTCACAATGCCCTTAAGAGAACGAATGGTCGAAAACGAAGACCGCGGGATAGATCGGATACATCTGAAGCAGGCGCAATCGAAAAACCGACGTCGCATAGGCACCTGCACCGGGAAAAGCAATACCTAGCAAGAAGGCACTAGAACGCGGACACAGCAGACGAAGACGAGGACCCCGTGGTGATACGGTGTCATCCGAAGTCGACAAGCAGATTGTAAAGTTCGCCGGTGTAGTTCGGATGCATCCGAGCTCCAAAGTGGTGTGGACCACCCCCTTGTGGCCCGGACCAAACCGAACTCGAGTTTTCTTGTCCTTCTGAGTCGGTAACGGTTGTGACTCGGATGCATCCGAATTCGAACAGCGCGGTCCAAAGACGGTCGTCCACAAGAGGGCACCATCTACAGCACGTGTTTTCGTCACCGACCTGTGAGCACAGGGTTAACCCTATCCTGCCGGAGGTTTGGTTCGGTTGAACCTGAACTTCGCAAATGTGGCTCGGATTAATCCGAGACGGGGACCGGCGGATGGACCCCATGGTCTGTTGACGCCCATCCAGCCGTCCAAGCTTCCGTTATTCCCCAGCTTTCCTTGGGTCCACCCGAATTTCGCACGGTGTGTCTTCGTCCTTGAGCGTTTAAGACGGGTGTGGCTTGGATTTATCCGATTTCGACAGGGGCTGTCCCCATACGTGCGACCACGACAGGCTGCGCCGACACCGTGTGCTTTCGTCGTACAAGTTTGTCAGATTGTGCGACGTCGTCAATACCCTCTGCGCATGTTGTAAATCCGAACAAGCCATCGGTGTGGCTCGGATTAATCCGACTTCGCCGAGGCGCTTCGGTTTGTTGTCGACCCACCACACACCGGACCTCCCCGCGATTGCCATAGTGTGTCATTATAATCTGTGCGTCATCACGGGGGATGTCGTCGTCCTCGTGAGTTCTAGTTGGTTGTTGCTTGCCCAATCCAAACAACAGACACGTTTGCTGTAGTCGCAGCACAAGTTTCGAGCTCGTCTTTTTTCCACCCGAGCGTCACCATCTCGACTCGTTTTAGTTGCATGAATCCGAGGCATCATTAACCTTCGTCATCAAACTGCCTTTCGTAGAGCGAATGGTCGAAGACGAAGACAGCGGGGGAGTTCGGACACATCCGAACTGGGCAGAGTCGAAAGTCAAGCGTTGTGACTCGGATGCATCCGAATTAGCACAATGCGAGACAGAAACGGCCGACCACAAGAGGAGGCCATCGGCATGGCGTGTTTTCCTCAATGACCTGTGAGCATAGGGTGGACCCTATCCTGTCGGAGGTGTGGTTCAGATTAATCCGAGACGGGGAAAGGTGGATGGACGGCACGGTCTGTTGACAGCGTGTGATTTCGTCGTTCACGTTTATCATAACGTGCGACGTCGTAAATACCGTCTGAGCATGTGACAAATCCAAATTTGTCATCGGTGTGCTTTGGATTAATCCGAACTTCGCCGAGGTGCCTCGGTTAGTAGTCGCCCCGTGAGTTTTAGTGGGTTGTGGCTCGGATGCAACCGAAATTAACAAGGGTGGCTCGGATACGTTAGTTATTGCGCCACCACAAGATGATATGGACAGGGTGGGCTGTCGTCCTCCTGGTTGGTCAGACATGTCGCCGTCGACAATACCCTATGAGCATCTGATCGCTCCGTGTCCTGTCCTGTGTCCACGTCAGCGGAAGGGTTTCTCGCGGCGTTCGGATGACGCGAGGTTTGATAGGGTTTAAAGATTTGAATTCACGTTCGCGTCCTGTGTCTTCGGATCTGTCGTAGCAGTCTTCGGATTACTGATCTGTGATTGCACTCAGGGGGGACCAACCTAAGATCGGTTGAGCGACTGTTTGCGATATACAAAGATTGGAGAGAGGCAGAAAACACGCACAGACACGGAAGGGAGACTAAGATCGATAGAGCATGGGCAGCGAGAGAGCCTGTCTTTATCTCTCTGTCTCTCCATGTGCAGATCCTGCGGATGGTGTTGTCCATTTCAGAATTCGCAATGTGACCCAGTAATAAAACTGCGCAAAAGAAATATAAGAAAAAATTGTTCGTGTCGGCGAGAGGAAGAGTGACGAAAAATGTGAAAGATTCGACGAATGTGGAGGACAATTTACGGATATTGAACCGAACGCCGAGCGAACTACACAACGCGACTTACGCGGGAAAACAAATAAACAAACCGAACGCAATAAAAATTAATTCAGCGAGAAGAAAGTCCATGTGCAATCTAGAAGAGACTTGTTTCGTGAGAAACCATGTTCTCGTGTTCGACAAGATCGACTAAAATCCTTATATCGCAGTTCGTGAGAGAGACAACAAATTGACGAAAAACGAGTAACACTTCAAGAAAACATCTGAAGTGACGACACAATCTCGAAGGGCGTGTCACAACATTCTCGGGCTACATTCGCGGGTCCCGTTTCGTTGGTGACCACTCGCCCCGATCAGATGGCACACTCGCCCCGATCAGATGGCACACTCGCACATTCTGTTGTCGCATAGAGCACCGCATCCATCAGCGTGGCCACGCTTATTCAGGACGTGACACATGGACGTCTGAGTGTGCCGTCTGATCGGGGCGAGTGATCACCAATGAAACGCATGCATTCTTGCTCTTGAAACTCCTTCATCTCGCCCCGATCCGATGGCACACTCAGACGTCCACATGTCAAGTCCTGAACATGCTTGGCCGCGCTGATCGGGGCGAGTGGTCGCGAATGGAACGAGATCCGCAAACGCACCCCGAGGTAAGTTCGGGAAAGAAACAGGCCAGCGCATGAGACGAACGAAGTAGAGGCGCTGAAGACAAACTAACGGCGGGGACGAAGATGGTAGTTGAACACGACGGCACACATGTCCATGTGTCAAGTCCTGATCATGTGTGGCCATGCTGATGGGTGCGGGGTTCTATTCGACAACATTCTATTGCCGCATAGAGCCCCGCATCCATCAGCGTGCCCACGCTTGTTCAGGACCCGCCACGTGGACGTGTGAGTGTGTCATCTGATCGGGGCAAGTGGTCGCCAATGGAACTAGAGGCACTGATAGAAAACTAACGACGGGGATGATGATGGTGGTGGAACACGATGCTATTGGTTCTGTCTCGTTCGTTTGTCTGCACTTGTCATTTACGTTCGCAAACTTTGTGCGAGCGACACAGACAAGCGCAGAAAAACGAACGAGATAAAAGACAGAAAGAGAGATAAATCGATAGCGAGAAAGAGAGAGAGAGCGACAGAGAGGCGATCTCCGCCTTCATCACACGGCCCAATCAAACGTCACGATCAAATGGCCCCGAACGTCATCCCGATCACACATCCGACTCACGGAGAGAAATCCCTGTTAGATCACACGTCACTGCTCGTTCGCGGCGACTGAACCCAATGTAATCGCCACCGCGCGAATCCCGACCACAGATCGCGTACATGTGTGGGCATTCTGACGGTCTACGCAAACCCGGCATGGCAGGACTTTTCAGGTCGGTGGAGATGGCGAGAAAAAGAGAGAGAGAGAGAGAGAGAGAGAGAGAGAGAGAGAGAGAGAGAGAGAGAGAGAGAGAGAGAGAGAGAGAGAGAGAGAGAGAGAGAGAG